CACCCCCAAAATCCATCCAGATAAAGTTTTTTCTTCAAGCCAACAGTAACTTTAAAAAAAGAAAGAAAAAAACCAGTGCATTTTCTTATGAAGCAAAGAAAATCTGACTTCAAGAAACTGAGCTTTGAAGTTGACAGTGAGTCCTACCTTTCTTATTAAATGACAATGATAGGAGATTATAGCTGTTTTTGCTTTATGTTTTTCTAATTTAATGTCCTTCCTTTTTTAAATTTTGATTAAGTGACTGATTGGAGAGAGAAAAGTGAAACATGGATCAATTGCCTCCCGAACACACCTCTACTGGGACTGAACCCAAAATCTGGGTATATTCCCTGACCGGGACTAGAACCTGCCACCTTTTGGTGGAATGTTCCAACCAACTGAGCCATGCGGCCAGGGCCCCCTCCTTCCTTTTAAGTGTTTTGTGAAAGCCCAAGGTCTGGGAAGGACTGCGTTAATCCAGTCTCTCCATACAGCACTGCAGTTGGAGAGATTCCTGTTGAACCTCAGCCAAGATATGCAAAGCTAATTATGGAACTGTTAATTACTAAATGCTTAAAAGGTTATTTGAAGGAGACTAATATAGAAGGAAAAAAGTCAATAACTTTTTACCATAAATTTAAGTTCTCACTTGTTCAGTCACATGCCAATACAATGAGATCAGTATTTCAGTTATAAATATGTATTTTTTTAACCTACAAATTCAAATATCATTGTTATGTAAACTAAATACTTGTGACCAAAAAGGCGTAATTTTGGGAGACATGCTTTTCAAAAATTGCTCATAGATCAGTTAAGTTGTGTTTCATGAACAAAACTGCTTAAGAAGCAAATATATATTACGAGGACCCCCAGAATGAGCAAAAATATAATGAAAGTATATTTTTGTCAAATGAAAATATGAGACTGCTCACAAACAATGATTAGAAAGAAACTCAAATAGAAAATGTGAGTGTAGCAGACACAATTTTCCCACCACATTTGAAAGTTAAATATTTACCATAAAAACTTTTGTGCAGATTCTCATAATTTAAAGTTCTCTGGGCTAAAGGTCTTTTTCAGCCCTCTCATTACAACTTAACATGTAATCTACTGAATGACTTTGCAAGGAATTAAGTCTTCTTGGACCGTTAGGAACTCTCAGCTCACAAATTCATGCGTTAGCGATTAAATCTAAAGGTGCCAATAGGCGAAACAAAAAATGTTTTTCAATAGGTAAGAACAAAGTAAAAGTAACTAGAAGGGGATTAGGTGAAGCCATTTTACAGTCACCAATTTTAAAAGTAACTTTTACAGCTAGCTAAAAACACAATGAATTACTAGGTCTTTAACGTAAGAGGAAACAATTACACAATAGATGTTTCACCTGAAAAACTGAACACATTACGTGTTTAAACACTCTACAGAAGCAATTTCAAGGGATCTGAACTCAACAACTTAATAAAATGGTCTAGAAAAATCATTTTATTGTTTGAAGCCTTGAGGGATAAAGCTGTTTGTAATTTATTTACGTCTTTTACCTCACTAAATTGCTTTGGTAATCACGCTTCCCATCTAAGTGATTAAAGACATAAACCCAAATAGTTTAATAAAGCAATGACTTAAGAGCCCTGTTTTTCAACAGAGGTGCACTGAAAAGCATCAGTAGAACGCTTAGGGTGTTCATCATGTACAAGCAGGTTTGTTACGCAGAACACAGCGCCCCATTGACTGGAACTTAGCGAGGTTTCCAGACACACAATAGGGGACCCACTTGGATTAAAAAGTCGACCTTTTTCCTCCTCTCAGAAGATCAGGTGAAACAGTGGCAGCGACAGGAATGTCGCTGAAAGGTCAGGTGGCAATTTTTCCATTTCTCCTTACCATTCCTCGTCCCTAATGGTGTGCCTAAATAAAGTGTGATCCTATTCTCCAGGTGGGCCTGAGAAGCTCCCTGACTGTCAAAGTCCCGTGTTTCCTTCCACTGGGACTCTCACCACGCACAGATTCTCTTCTACCCTGTTTCCCCGAAAATAAGACAGTGTCTTATATTAATTTTTTCTCCCAAAGTTGTGCTAGGTCTTATTTTCAGGGGATGTCTTATCTTTTCCATGCGCGAGGTCTTATTTTCAGAGGATGTCTTATTTTCGGGAAAACACAGTAGCTAACTACTTAGGTGACACTAGCAACATCACCATGACTTTTAGGCAACTGAGTAACCTAAATACAAAACTATGTATGTCTTCAACAAGTTTTGTAGAGAAACTGGATTGCTGAGAGTTTTTTGTTGGTTTTTTTTTTTAAAGGAAGAAACCAAATTTAACAAAAATTGTTTCTATATCTTTCTATATTGTTTTCTTTTGAAGCCCCTTCCTTTTTTGCCTTTACCGAGTCTATCCTGAGAAACAGAAGGAAGCATGACAGCAAAACTGTCCCAGTTCATATCCTTCTGTTTGTGATATCAAGCCTTTTAATGTGTGCTTTTCTTACATCACAACATTCTAGCTCTCAAGCATCCATGACAAAGACAGTACAGAAAAACTCCCAGCCCTGGCATTACCAAGGCACTCCATATAAAAAGCACCTACAACTAAAACTTTCTTTTTCTTTAACCTGAATCCATTTCAAATGTCAAACCAGGTGAAGTTAGAAAACATTCAAACCTACTTTCTCTTTAAAACAACATAGATAAGGGTGAGGGTTTGCATTAGTAATAAGCCAATGAACATCAACGTTAATAGGGCTGACACTTAAGAATGTACAAAGCGGCCCTGGCTGGTTTGGCTCAGTGGCTGGAGGGTCGGCCTGCGAACTGAAGGGTCAAGGCACATGCAGGGGCTGCAGACTTGGTCCCCAGGAGGGGGTGTGCTGGAGGCAGCCAATCAATGATTCTCTCTCATCATTGATGTTTCTATCTCTCTCTCCCTCTCCCTTTCTCTTTGAATAAATAAATAAATAAATAAATATAAATAAATAATTTTTTTAAGAATGTACAAAACGTTTGGTAGCTTTTCCTCTGTTTACTTTTTTAAAAATATATTTTATTGATTTTTCACAGAGAGGAAGGGAGAAGGATAGAGTTAGAAACATCGATGAGAGAGAATCATCGATCAGCTGCCTCTTGCACATCCCCCACTGGGGATATGTCCACAACTAAGCTACATGCCCTTGACCGGAATCGAACCTGGGGCCTTTCAGTCCGCCGGCCAATGCTCTGTCCACTGAGCCAAACCGGTTTGGGCCCCTCTGTTTACTTTTGTCCATGCAGGTTGGGTGGGGGCAATGTGCGGCTTTCCGAATGTCAATGAAGCTTTCATCCTGTGGTGTCACAGTCACTGGCCCACTTCTGACGCAGGCCAAGTTCTGTGCCGGGTCCGTTTTTATTCTACACAACTGGCTCAGCAACAGGAAAGTTTAACAGCTCACTGACTTGGCACAATCCACATGCTGTCTGTCACAGCGAAGGTTTTGTCTCCTACAGTCTTGTTTGGTGAATTACACCCTCCTCCCCCCAAGTAGGTTTCCAATCATTGCTATTCTAATTAATCGAGAAAAGGCAACACCACTTCCCCATCTCTAACTTCCACCAAAGGCCTCTGACATCATTTTCTGACATGGCTGTCCAGTTTCTAATGTCCCTGGCATGGAATTCTTTCATGAAAATGTGCTCTTCCACCACACTAACTGGGAACGCGCATTTTCAGAAAACTGATACGGTGGACAATGTTAAAGCTAGATGAGGATAAGGAAGGTACACGACACATTTGGTAAATACGTGCCATCCATCTAGGATTCCCCCAGATGTGATGGCTCCGTCAAGAAAAAAAAAAAAAAAAAAAAAAAAAAAAAAAAAAAAAAAAAAAAAAAAACAGTACCAGGTGCCATCGCTGGGCCTTGTCCCAAAGCAGCCAATGGAAGAAGATTCTGTTTTACTCTGTTCTCCCCCACATTAAGTAACAGTAATCAACGTCAGAGAAGAGCATTTGGACTTGAACAGATGGCATGCAACACTGAACAAGCACAGCGACTCTTTCAACAATTAGATCCTACACGTCTGATGGTCCCAAGGATCAGAAGGGCTTATTTGTCTTAAGAGGGTTGGCAACGAGATATCCTGTAGTCACCATCCTAACGCTTAGGAATATGCGTCATTCTCTAGTCAGCAACTAAGAGAAAAAAAAAAAAAATCAAACCACCACAATTTTATAAAATTTCCCCTCGCTAGTCCAACTTGAAACGGCCAAGTCCGATGCCAACGGCAATTCCTCCAGTTCCAGGAAGAGGAAAACAGGCCTGAAGGTAAACGAGCGCACAAAGGTGAACAAACTTATCTAATTTTGACAAGGTTGTGCAACGCCAACGGAATCCGCACGGTGCCCTTCCCGGGGGTGCGTGTGGAATGCCTGCCCTGCACGGATGTCTGCATTTTAAACTAAAAGCACCAACTTCCCACCACCACCACCCCCTTCCATTGGAAAGCTGCACCCCTTTTTCACAAGAGCAAAATAATAAACACACAAACACCTTAATGGTTTACGTTACAAGAAGGCCAACACGGATAGCCTTTCGCAGAAGAAACACACAAGTTTCCTGCAAAACCTCTTCCAACACCTCCAAACTCTGAAGGCAGACGGGGCCACATGCACGAGAAGGAAGGGGCCCACGGCCAGAGTGGCCAACCGAGGGGAGGTGACACCTCCTCTCTCCAAGGCCCCCCAAGATCCACGGGGCCGGGTGTGCGGCTGGGGAGAGGGGGAGCTAAATGGACAATTCCCTCCGGGGGAGTCAGGAATGGGGAGGGCAAGAAAAGGAGAAGATCCAGGAGGCAGAAAAACAAACCCAGGCTGGCCAGGGGGAGAGACTCGGAGCTGGGATGTAACTGGAAGTTGGAGGTCCGATCCGGAGGAGCGGGATGAGCGGGGCGAACCGTGTTGGGAAGGGGGAGATAGGGGAGATGGGGGGGGAGGGGAGGGGGCGCAGCCTAAGAGGCACCAACGCGCCCAAGTCCCGCCGGGTCTCACCTGGGAGGTCCTCTCCGCGGGGTTCTTCATCACCGCCTGGCGGAAGCTGTTATCCACGTAGGAAGCCATCTCTCCCCGCGGGCCGGGCCGGGGCCGCTCCGCACCCGTGTCGGCGGCCTCCTCCCCGCCCAGCGCGGCCGCTGCTGCCTCCGCCCTGCGCGCTCCGCCCGCGGCCAATCAGCCAGACCGCGCGGCGGGGCCCGCAGGGGGCGGCTCGGCGGGCCCGGGGGCCGGGGGCCCGGGGCGCGGGACGGGCGCGCGGGAGCCCCGGCGGGAGAGCGAGGCCACGCGCAGCTCCGGGGTCCCGCCGCCCGGAGGGTCGCTGCGGCTCGATCGGCGGCCGGCAAGTCCCCTTCCTCCGGTCCCTCGCCGCCGCTGGGCCGGGCGAAGGCTTCCTGGCGCGCCGGGCTCCCTCCGGGCCCTGGCAGGACACGCCTCCCCGGCTCCGCCGCTGGGGGGACAGTGGCGGCTCCTCCTGGCCCCGGCGAGCCAGCCGGAGTTATTTTTAGGGAGGGAGGTGCGGGCGACGGTGAGGAGGGGTAGGGCTGCGCGCAGGCGGGGCCTCCTCTCCCCGCCCGCGCGGAGGGGCGCCCCCTCCTCTCGGGGGTCTCCGGGAAACGCGCCGATCGCCCGCGCTGCCCCCAGTCCTCTCGGGCTCCGGGGCGCCGCGAGGAAGGAAGGCTGGCTGAGCTGGCTCAGGTCCGGGCGCCGCGAAGCCCGATCGCCTCGGCCGCTGTCCCAGCCGCTGCGGAGGCTCGTCTACTGGGCTCGGCCGTGCCTCCCGATTGCTGCTGCATCCCCCCGGGCCGCCGCGCCGCCGCCGCCGCCGCCGCCGCCGCAGCTCCGGCCGCCGCCGCGGGCTCCGCCGCCGCCGCCGCCCCCCATCCGCGCGCCCCGAGCGCAGCTCCTTCGCCGGCGCCGGCGCCGCCGCGGCCAGAGCGCACGGCCCGGGCGGCAGCCTCCGGCCCCGGCGCTCTCTCCGCAACTTTGTTCCCGGCGCGGGCGGGGCTGGGGCTGGGGAAGGGCCCGGGTCCGACCGCCGGCGGGAGGGCGGAGAGGCAGCCGCGGGCCGCGCACAGCAGCCCCCCTGCAGCAGAGTGTTTGGGAAGCAGCGGCGATTCCCCTCCTCTTCCTCCGCCTCTTCCTCCTCCTCCCCGCGTCTGCTCCGGCCGCCCGAGCCGCTCCTCAGGGAGGAAGCGGCCTCCCGGGCTGGTTGCTTTGTGCTGCAGCCATGGTGAGGGTGAGTGACGGCCGGGAGGCGAGTCGGCGGGCGCTGCATCATCGCGGGGCGGGGCGGCCCGTGCGCCGGGCCCGCCCCCTCCCTCGCGGCTCGGCGCCCGCCCGCCGGCGGGCCGCGCCCTGGCTCCGGAGCCTCACCTTTGGCTCTGCCAGGTGAGCCCCAAGCAGAGCGGGGAGGGGCGGCGAGGGGGAGGGGGGATACACGCGAAGGAGCTGGTCACAGCCCCGCAACCAACTGGCCCCAGGAGGTGGCCCTGGTCCCGGGGTCCCGGCCCCCCGCACTGGGCCATCGTTTTGAACCCAGGGGGTTGGCGCCTAGCCGCTTCCCAGACGATAAATCCTCTTAAGGATTTATTTTGTTTTATTTGTCACTTGCTGCAGGGAAGAAAGCATTCCTTCTGGCACCATCAGAACACTGGAATGGCCACAAAATTAAGGAGATGGAAACGTGCCAGGATCAACACTACTTAGACTCCCCCCCCCCCAACCCCACCCCAGACACGAAAGCATGCCAGATGGAAAGGTGTGAGTGAGACCTGGAAGGTCTTGTGACCTAATCGGAGACATGGGCCCATCGGGCTTTGCCTGAGGCAGAGCAAATGTCTTGATCTTGAGTTTCAAGTGGGGCTCACTGGGTGCAGAGGACGCTGAAACCTAGCCCTTTAAGATGTTACCACTCCTGCTGCTTCGTGTCCTCCCCTCCACTCCTCGCCCCCCCTTCCTGAGCCAGGTCAAGGTGTGTGAGGTCAGCCAAGCACCAGGAACAGCTCTGGTCCTGGGGTTTTATTTTTATCTGTCTCCCCACCTCCTCCTTTCCCAACAAGTTCATGTTCTGATGTCTATGTGGAGGCTAGACTTAGAGGAGGATTGTTACTTTTGTGACCTCGTACATTGAACTGTTTTCCAGTTTTCACCTTTTTAACATCTAGTTTATTTTAAACTCTTGAGCAAACATTTGAGGGTCCTTAAGTGACCTGTGTGGCTGCTAATTAGAGAAAGGGTTGTGTAACCCTGTGAGACTGGATAAAACTGTATCTCTAGACCCTTTTGTATTCCTCTTACTGAGACTGCTTCCCCTTGTTTCTTTCACCCCTTGGTTGAATCCTAGCATCAAATTCTCCATGGCATGGACCACCACCTTGAGAGCAAAGAACATGAATAAGTGTCATAGCACTGTACGGAGAGAAGAAGAAAATCAAATCCAATGAGGTGAAAAAATAATACCTGACACCTCCACCTGATGTCTAATGGACATCTCAGAATTAACATGTGCAGACCAGGCTCCAGATTACCTGCCCCAATGCGCCCTCCCACAGCTTCCCATTCCAGTCAATGCCATCTGCACCCTTCCAATTGCCCAGCTGACCACAGGGTCAGTAAACCTGTTGGCTCGACCTTCAAAATACCATATCTGGAATCCAACCTTCACTGAGCACCTCTGCTGCCATGATCCTGGTCAGCATCAACTTGTGCCTACACTTTGCAAAAACCACCTACCGGATCTCCCTCTTTTGGTGATTGCCTCCAGCAGTATATTTTGAGTCTTTTCAGTCCAGCTCAACTCCTTTGCTTTAAAAAGAAAAAAAAAAAAAAAAAAAAAAAAGACTAAAAAATCCACTAGCTCCCCATCTCATTTAAGCTAAAAGCCAGAGTCCTTACTATAGCCTCAATATTCCTTCTCTCTCTGACAATCTCCTACTACTCTGTTCCTTACTTGTTTTTTCCAGTCCCATTGGCCTCCATGCTGTTTCTGAAACACAATGAGCAAGCTCCAGTCTCATGGCCTTCCCCTTTGCTGGATCTCTGCCACCGGAATGATCTCTGCACTCCCCACAACCCACCCAAAACAGAACAAAACCTAGGATGTTGTTTCCTTACCTCCTTCACGTCTTCATTCGAGTGTTATTTTTCCTGTAACATCCGTGCCTTAGTTCTCTTCCTCTCCTTGCCACCATCATAACATACTATATAATTCGTTTTATTTATTGTCTTCCTCCACTGTAATGTATGCTGCCGAAGTCAATGATTCATGTTCCTTTTATTCACTGCTATTTCCAAAGACACAGTGTAAATGAATGAATAACTATGGTATTACATTGTGTGTATGAGATTGTTACAATATTAACTCACTTCTGTCTCTGACAGTGGTGGGATGGAGGGGGGAGCAGGCTGGGAGAGAAACCCTCCTGAGCCTGTTTTCTGTTCTATAAAAATGCACAAGAACTGCGTGCCCTGAAGATTATAATGTATGCAAAGTGTCCCACGTAGTGCTCGAACCATTGCATGCACCCAACAAAGGATAGTTATTTTTAAGATCATTCTCATCATCCTGTTCCTTCGTGGAACAGTTATTATCTTGTTTACAGATGAGGAAACTGAGACTAAAATAGGCGGCCTGACTTGCCCTGGTCCCAGGCCTGCCTTTAACTTTGGAAGGGCCTGGGACAAGCTAACAAATGGAGAGCCACAGACCCTATCACATATACCTAAGGCTCTGCGTTAACAAGGAACATGGTGCTGTAGGGAGGGCTGGCTTCTAGCCTGAGACTCGCACCCTGTATCCTTCCCATCTCAGCTCCTTCCCATACCACAAAAATGCTCACACCCATGAGGACACCCCAGCAGGCACATTGAAACTCCATCAGACCCCTCCCAAAAGCCACGCGTGGTGAGTCCTGCAGGCTTGGAAGATCAGGCCTCCAAGACAGGACAGTAAGTTCCAGGGTTCCGGGAGCTACGAGAGTTGGGAACAAACACCTTAAGGTGTGTGGAAGGGTAAAGCTAGGGAAGGGCCCTTCAAAGCATGGGCAGCAGGCAGGAACCCCGGTTCCCATGGCCAGAAAGTTATGAATTGCAGATGCCAACCCAGCTCTTTTTTTCTGAATGCTCTGCTATGATTCTAAATTGCACCCATGACCTCAGGTAAGGGATAATAGTATCTGATCCACCAACAGAATGACTAACTGGCCTCTAAGCTATCATTTAACTTCAATCAAAGCTAATTTTTCCCCCTATGTATAATCTACTTATCTGCATATGTTAATAATGCTAATCACCATTGAACATCTAGGACATCTTGACCTGGGCATGCATTGCTGTTTTATTACCATTAAAGCACCGACAGGGTGCCTGGTATAACATGGACAACAGAATGAGACACAACATTTTTGCCAATTATCCAGGTAAACCATCTCTTGTGCTGTATCATAAAGGCAGGTTTAAACGTGAGAATTTCTTTGTTCTGTCCCTACAGCCATCATATTATCTAGAAAAATTCTTAGAGGATACATAGAACATAGGGTTTTTAAGTCCAAAAACACATTTTAAGTCCTGGCCTAAATACCATTCTACTTGTAACTTTAAAAGCCTGGGTCTTTCCAAGCGTAAAAATCTAATACATTCCTAAATCTATCATGTAAATTAGATGTTTAGAGTCATCTTTAAAATTCAGTTAAAATAATTTTTTTTTTACATTCCCATGAGTCCAACTATGACACAAGATTAGGATGGATATATATATATCTGTCCATCTAACTAGAGAGAGAAGGTCATTTTGTTCACACACACACCCTACACTCACACAAAACTCACCTTGAGTACCCACCATTCAATCAGTCAATCAATATTTATTAAGTGCTGTGTGCCAGGTACTGATCTTGATGCTTGGAATACCAATGGTAAATAAGACAAACATGGTCCCTTCCCTGGCCTGGTGGGCGCTGGTTCCACGTGCCAGCACTTGCTTCATTTACTCACCTCCCTTAGGACAATGGTGAGGGCGAGAGAGAGCACCAGGAAGCTACCCTGCTCTGCTAAGACAAGCACTTCCT